GCAGACTAAAGTTACTTGCCCCACTGCTAATTCCCTCGTTGACCGGGGCGTCGGCCAGTAATACTTCAGACTCCTTGCGAAGCAATTTTAGGGTCCCCAGCCCTGGTCTTCCACCTGGTAGACCCGCCCAACCCTACCCTTCTAACCCACTCGTAGGAGATTACAACAAGGCCAATCCGTGGTGTCAAGGGGCACCTAGTAAATACTGCAAGTGTCCAGGTCCAGATCAACGCACTAGGGGTGGCTACTACAATTCCATCATAAAGAGAACGCTGTAGGAGGAGGGGCAATGCTACAAGCGACGAGGCGAGAGAATTGCAGCTTTCTGTCTTGTGGTGTGGGCCGTCGGAAGGAAAAACCCGAACCGACTGGATGGGGGAAGCGTCACGCGCGACCTCGTGTAATGACGTATGTACTGGTACGCCGTACTCATAAGAACACTCGGGCGCATGATATGGGCCCCACAGTAAGTAGCTTCATCCACTACGTGGAGTACTCCGTACTACCTGTACTGGTATGTGCTTCTTATCATGACGCTGTCTGCAAGAAGGCGCTACAGCGGACCCCTCGTAATACTACGTGGTGCGCACCCCGCATCTACCCCGCAAGCCGGGCCGGTATTTACTTGTCCACTGCATGGGGTGACTATTAGTTATCATAGAATCCTAGTTTGCCTCCTTTCACACCCCCTCTCTCAACTGATACGGCGGCGCAGTCGGAGCAGGCAGGCCGGTCGCCCCCTATCCCGGAGCGCTAGCAATGCGATTGGACACAAACATATCCGGTGGTTGGGAGGATTGTTACGTAAGAGGCTCACTACTCTCCTCTCATTCCTAATGCAGTAATTCATAATAGCACTAGGTCCCTCGGAATCTGGCCATTCACGTGCTCTCAAGACCCGACGAATGTCGCGCTGGAAAGTGATCCGACGTGCTCGAGTTAAGTGAGCCGATGCGGACTATGGAAGCCCAACCTATCGCATACCTCCTCTAACAAAAGTAGCGACTACGGGTAGATATAAACGTATCGACATTCACTCATGTGCCTTAGTTTAGATATGTCCCCCGCTGTGCCCTTGTTGTCATCAGCCTGTGATCTGCGTTATTGTTGGCCAATTTTCCCAGCCGTCAATCTTTTCCACTTGTATTGAGCACTCTTCGAGTCATTGGCCACTACTTGATCCGTCTTAGTCTGCTAGCTCGGAAGCAAACGAGGCGAGCTGTTTACAGAACAAACCTACCACCATGTCTTCTTCCAACGATACCCCCCATATACTTGGATACGCCCAGCCATGGATTGTCTCTCCCGGTGAGGCAGTGGACATCAAAGTATGTTGTGTTCCTGATTGAATGCGTATATCTCATGCTAACTTCGGTAGGTTTCGAGCACCGAGACGAACTATACATCCCGTTTAGTGCGCCTCATCCAGGGCTTCGAGGGTGCTAATGCCCCTCCGGCCCAGGAGGAGGAGATCACTGAGGTCGCCGTGCAAGAGCACAATGATGGCCGCTACCAGGATGCTTGTTCCGGGTCTTACGGTCTTGTACCGGCCTGGGCCCAGGTCCAATACGCGGCTGAGGAGGGTCTTGAAGTCGAGATCTATGTCCAGCCATACCTGGTCGATGTTGACTCCTCCCAAACCATGCTCTCCTGCCTCGACGCCAGCTCCAAGACTGGATTTGCGGTGATCCTGAAGGACTCAAAGATCCAGTTCCTTGTCGGTACCGGGAGCACGGTCGATGTATTCCAGAGCCAAATCCCCGTCAACCGATGGCGATGGATCCGAATTCAGATGGGATTTGTCGGCAACACCTTCACAACCAATATACGACAGCTTAACCGCCTCGCGGAAAAGACACCTCCTGCAGAGGAAGGCGTGGCGAACGTTTTATCGGCACCCATGGCTTTGGGGTCTAATGCCCTGCTATTCGGCGCGGGCATGTTTGAATCCGCCAACAAGCCGGGCTCCAAGCCGGCGTGTTTCTACAACGGTCGCGTCGACTCTCCGACTTTTACCTTGACGGGCTCGACCCGGAAGGTTGTCGCGAAGTACGACTTCTCCGTGGGAATCGCCACTGATGCCATAACCGATGTTTCCGAGAACGGGCGACATGGTGTCCTGGTCAACTCCCCCACGCGAGGTGTCAAAGGATATACCTGGGATGGCACTGAGCCGGACTGGACGAAGGCGACCTACGGATATGGAGCCATTCATTTCCACGAGGAGGATCTAGACGATGCCAAATGGGCCACAGACTTCACTATTACTATCCCGCCCACCGCTCGTTCGGGTGCATACGCAGTTGAGGTCAAGACCACGAGCGGAGCAAAGGACATGATCACGTTCTTTGTTCGCCCCAACCCCAAGTCAACGGCAAGGGTCGCGCTGGTTCTGTCCACGTTTACATATCTCGCCTATGCCAACGAGCGGATGTACGATGTGTCTAGGTCGTCGGCAATGTCGACTTCGGATGGTGTCAGCATCGCAGCTGACCACGAGTATTACAAGGGCCTGGATCGCCGCGTGGATTTGGGCCTCTCGTCTTACGATGTTCACAAGGACGGCTCCCCGAATGCGTTCTCCACTGCCCTTCGGCCTATCCTAAACCTCCGGCCCGGATACGTTCACTGGGCGTTGGACCGCCCTCGCGAGTTCAGCGCTGATCTTATGATGATTGGGTTCCTGGAACGTGCCGGCATTCCCTACGATACCATCACCGATCACTGCTTGCACATCGGGGGCCACGAGGTGGCATCTCAATACACAACCATGATCACTAGCTGCCATCCCGAGTATCAATCCATCAAAACCCTGGACGCATGGAGCGGGTTTGCCAAGGCTGGCGGCAGCCTGATGTACTTGGGCGGCAATGGGTTCTACTGGGTCGCAGATATTGACACCGCGAGGCCTCACCGCCTCGAAGTTCGTAAGGGTGACCAGGGTTGTCGGTCGGTGACGTTCCCCGGCGGTGAAAGGATGCACACTATGACGGGAGAACAGGGAGGACTGTGGCGTAGCCGCGGTCGTGCCCCCAACTATCTCTTCGGTATTGGGTCGTGCGCGTTCGGTACTGGCAAGGGAAAGCCTTACAGGGCAGACCCCAAGTACGCTAAGGATCCCGCATATGCCTGGATCTTCGACGGCATCAACCCGGATGAGCCTATTGGCAAGGATGGGTTCGGTGGTGGTGCTAGCGGTGACGAGATTGACCGTCTCGATTTTGACCTTGGCACACCAACCAATGCTGTTCTTCTAGCCACTAGCGAACAGCATGACGATAGCTTCGGGCTATTCAATGAGGAGTCAATGTTCCCCATGGTGGGCACCCTCGGTTCGACCTGCGATAGGGTCAGGAGCGACATAGCCTACTACGACACTGCCGGGGGTGGTGGAGTGTTCTCAGTTGGGAGCATCAACTGGTATAGTAGTCTCGCTTGGGATGATTATAAGAACAACGTTGCTAGGATGACGGAAAATGTGATTAGGACATTTGACGAGAGAGGAAGGGGGCCTGGTCAATAGGACTTTGGTTTGATGAATAGATGAAGACAGGAATGATCGATTTAGGCTACATCTTAAACCTCGACCCATGACTGTGAATGTTCGAGGCCGCAAAATGCTGGCCGGCTAGTTACGAGACCGTTAAAAGAGCTCTGCGCTAGGATTACTTTCGTCGATGTTTAGGACTTGAACTTTTGCAGCAGTATTTTGCTTCGGAGTTAAGTGACGAGACGAAGGGCGTCTATCTTCTTCGAATGCCACTGCATGTTGGAATTTAGGCTGCTTAAAGCAGCGATGGACAATGATGAAGCATGAGAGACTCTAATAAAGTCTACCGCTTACGAGGGTGGGAGCAGTAGTAGTCCTACGATGGTCCGTTCAAAGCCTCTCCAGTTCTAGTGTAACGTTTTAAGGGGCACTGGATTACTACGGGTGACTTAATACCAATCGATACCCCCATGGGGTTCTATGTGATCATCACTCGCACCTAGGAAGTATTGTGCCCCGGTTATTCTCCCCAACATCCAACCTGCGGGAAGGTATGAAGCTTTGATATCGTCAAGCAACAGCAGTCTCAGTGAAACGCCAAACGATTTTAGGCCCTTAATGGCCTTGTACCTCGCTGCATCCTCTCCTTATGGACAGCATAGTGGGGAGGGTATGAGGACGAGCAAGACTATATCGATACGATAGACCCCCAGCTTGTGAGAATACTGAGGGCTCTTCTGGCTCTCCAGCATTTTGATTTCAATGGCCCTTTTGGCAATGAGGCATTGAGCGCCGCCCCTCATTACCACGGCAGTTCATTATAGAGCTCAAGCTGATTCCTATAAAGGATACTTCCATCCGGCTAGTGCCTTTTATTTACACAGGCATATGGGTAGGATCCCTCGTCCGGGCGTGCCCCATTATAGGCGATCTCGAGGTCCATCCCTCGTGGACCTAGAGCGACGAAGAGGAGACTTGCCTTTACCGCGGGCTAGCCGAGCTTCCTAGGATAAGGCTGCTGAACTTGTTGCTCAATTGCTCCAATGTAGTTGTAAGTTGGGAAGGTGTAGAGAGAAATTTAGACATAAACGGGTACCGCATATCCGCATTACGATTGCCAACACTTCAAGCTGGGGATAGGAGACCAAGTCGAACCTGAGCGGTCGGTCCCGATACCCTGTCACCTGAGACAGCAATTGTTCTAATATTCCTCATCTTTGGAAATGATTACTCTGTTTTGCCCTCCATTAAACAAGTCCCTGGTAGCGTTTGTTGTTGGTTTGTTAATGTACTACAAGGATTGGTTGGTGACTGGCACATTCCTAATATTTAGATTTGGACTATTACAGCCAAGCATCACCGACGACATGAAAAGTCTACAACAATAACCATATGCATTAGTGACGATGGAAGTAGAGTAGGATATGGTTCTCCATCCTAATAATGTCCAGCGAGCCTCCAATCCTTTGCAGTTGGAAAACTCGAATTCGATTTTACACACACTAGACCCGCCCGGTTAGCTCAATCGGTAGAGCGTCAGACTCTTAATCTGAAGGCTGCGGGTTCGACCCCCGCATTGGGCTCAATTCCCAGTGCACCCGAGAATACTCGGGTACCGATACTTTTTGTTTCCGTCCTTATACTAGTCGTTACTTTTTTTTTTTTTTTTTTTTTTTTTTTATTTTTTTTTATTTTTTTT